GTTTAACAATAAAAGTAACGAAGCTTATCTTGGTTTAACAATAAAAGTAATGAAGCTTATCTTGGTTTAACAATAAAAGTAATGAAGCTTATCTTGGTTTAACAATAAAAGTCGTGAAGCTTATCTTGGTTTAACAATAAAATTAATGAAGCTTATCTTGGGTTTAACAATTAAAGTCGTGAAGCTTATTTTGGTTTAACAATAAAATTAATGAAGCTCATCCTGGGTTTAAGGAAAGATTTGATTTCAGGTGTTTCCGATACAACTAATACTATAGCTTATTTTGAGTTTAATTTTTCCATAAAGTAAGAAGGAAAATATAGGTAGTCCACCAAATTGAAGCTAAACTCTGCAAAAAAAAGGAATTAACAGATTATTGGAATGCACAATTTTTGGAGCTATGACAAGACAAAACTAATATTTTAAAATAATGGCACTCACTCCCAGTTCATATTTATATAAATCAGGAATTTCATGATTTGGTAGATTTGTCATTTACCTCTTCACAGTTCATGACATTACACTTTAATGTGGAGTGTGGTCATCACAAGTAGCATTATCAAAGTTAGGTGTTAATAGGGTCTTGCGTCCTTGATCACCTCTTTCCAGTACATCTTTAGGGCTTGGAATCACTTGGAAAGATTCGAGTAGTCTCGACCTTTCTTCAGAAAATGTCTCCAAGGCATATTTACTGTCTGGAGTAACTTGTAAAGGTCAGAGTATTCTCGACCTTTTCTCAGAAAATGTCTCCAAGGCATATTTACTGTCCGGAGTAACTTGTAAAGGTCAGAATATTCTCGACTACTCCTCTGAAACAATTGATACTAACGCATCTTTAGTGCATGGAGTCACTTGAACAGAAGCGACACTTTTCTCCAGAGTTTTCCATACATGCGTGATGAAACTGTAATAAGGTAACGTGAAGCTTTCTCGATTTGATCAATGTATCGTCAAACAATGTATCGATCAGACCAGACGTGTGTTATGGTCCATCACGGTGAAATCAGGCCTAATTGGGACAAACAGCATCGTAGGATGTGCACTTATAATGTGTGTGTGTGTGGTGGTGGAATACTTAACCCTGATCACACTATACTTACATTGTCGTTCCGTTGTTGTACGAAGATGGGTCATTTCTGGGTTCTGGTTCTTTCCATATTCGGTTTTTTTTAGTCTTCTGTAATATTCTAAAGCGCCACCTGTAACAATTTTAATTTATATCCTAGTCTTAGTGACGAAGCATTTACATTTTAGACACATAAAGAATTATTGTCACTACTTGACAACAGTGGTTTTTTTCTCATCATTACTTTAACATCCGTTAATGGTTATGATCAGCATACATGGAGTATCCGATACTTAGACTTTGTTTGTAAGCTACTTTGGCGTTGCCAGTAGAAACTAGAACGTTGGTTATCCCTAAGTCTACAAAAATATCTTCTGATGAAGAAAGTTGTCATGAAATGGGGGGGGGGATAAATGTTTTGTTCTGGTTATTGTGAAACACAATACATGATCGAACCCCGAATTTTAGCGTCGTAAGTTTGCATACTCACCGCTTATCCATTCCCGGGGGGGGGGGACAAATGGTAAAGAAAAGTTAATTGACTCTAAAATCCAAAAATGCAAATAAAATTTATCATAATCAGAAAGACACAGAAATGTGGTTGTAAACATTGTCACCAATTGTTTATTTTATTCGATATGTTGGGCTAGACGTACCTTAGCAGTTACTGTGTCTTTACGGTAGCGAGTGCGATAGGCTAAATCCTTTCTCTCGAGTCAGTAGTTCAAAGTTGAGTACTGTTTTTTTTTATCCGATTTCTGGGAACCTGTGACCAGACTAATGAACCCTCGTGCACATATAAGTTCATTCACATCTGTAAAAGTAGAGCTAGTGAAGTAGAGCTGTGTGGGCTTTAGAATTAGAATAAAAATTTATCAAATATTATAAAACCGTGTTCTTTTTTTCTTTAACTTTCTCGTTATTTTTACTTCCGTCTTTCTCTCTTGAAGATAAGCTTTATTACGTTAAGCCTTGTTTGAAAGTTCTCTTTGTATTTATATCATTTTATTACTATTAGGTTTGGTTTGTTATGAATTTCGCGTAAAGCTACACGAGTGCTATTTGTGCTAGCCGTCCCTAATTTAGCAGTGAAAGACTAGAGGAAAAACAGCTAGTCAAGTATTGGGCTGGTCTTTTATCAACGAATAGTGGGATTGACCGTTACATTATAATGTCACCACAGCGCTCTAATCACCAAGCCTTATTGATTAAGAAGCAGCTTTGAGTTTGAATCGGAAATTATCTCATTATGTGGCCGTTTTCTGAACGTCTGAGTCGTCCTGTATTGATTTTAAAACCTAAAGTCTCTACAAATGTGCATAAAGTTTCCTGTATTGATTTTAAAACCTAAAGTCTCTACAAATGTGCATAAAGTTTCCTGTATTGATTTTAAAACCTAAAGTCTCTACAAATGTGCATAAAGTTTCCTGTATTGATTTTAAAACCTAAAGTCTCTACAAATGTGCATAAAGATTCCTGTATTGTTTTTGAGGACAGAGCTGTCAACTCAATTTTAAACTGATAATAAATTGGACATAATAAATAGTTTATAAAAAATGTGTTTCAAAGTTTGTGTTTCGGTCCCCAAGGGTGCAGTTAGGAATGGTTAAAAAAATGTTCATACCAGTACCATCAAACCACTTTGCCCCTGTAGAACTGTTTTCTTTGCAATACAGCAGTGTTCGACAAGAAAAACACCTCCAGTTTTCGTAACTTGATCAACGTATTTAAAAGCGACCTACTCGAGTTAGGATTATTTATCCTACTTTTCAAATAGCTTCATTAAGAATAATTTCAGGAAAACTTTAATTTTTTTTCAAATATAACAGATAATAGGCATAAGTTGGCCCTGTGGTAGAGCTTTGGATTTCTGTGTTGTGATATATCACAAAATATTTTGCGCACCTGAATTAAGCTGTTAGAAGAGAAACAGTCTATCCCTTAGCGTAAAAGATGGACGATAGGTTACTGCCGTTCTTCTGGTCATTAGGTCAAAATTAGGGACGGCGTCAGTTATTTTTAGTATCTTTACCATAAATATGAAATACAAATAATAGATGTTTGGTTGTTATGAATTTCGCGCAAAGCTTTACGAGGGCTATCTGCGCTAGCCGTCCCTAATTTAGCAGTGTAAGACTAGTCATCACCACCCACCGCCAACTCTTGGGCTACTCTTTTTCCAACGAATAGTGGGATTGACCGTCACATTATAACGCCCCCACGGCTGAAACGGCAAGCATGTTTGGTGGGACGGGGATTTGAACCCGCGACCTTCAGATTGCGAGTCGAGGGTCCTAACCACCTGGCCATGCTGGGCCTAATTAATAGATAATAAGACATGTTAGAGTTTGTGTTAAGCAATTTGATAAAAAAAAAATGACCCTCAGTGCCACAGCGGTATGACTGAAGGCTTATAACGCTAGAAATCGGGTTTAGATACCCCTGGTGGGCACAGCACAGATAGCTTATTGTGTAGCTCTGTGCTTAACTACAAACAATCCGATAAACAAATAATATTATCATATGTTTATATGATATTATGAATCACTTAACTCAGGAAAAATAGAAGGTTGCTCAAAGCTGTTTCTTGCTCCCGCCTCACTCAACAAATATCACGGACGTTTAGGTATTGTAACGCTCGGTATTAGTTTCCGGGACGAGGGAAGTTAATGGTGTATGACAGGCAATTCGTTGCTTCTTTGCACCTTAGTTTTCTAGCTTCACGAACTACGTAAAACAGATGAGTGTACTAATTACTGGAAAGACGTAATGCGCAAGCGCTCTATTTAAACAATCGACTTTGTCTTCCAGCCCATTCTCGTGTTTCTAAGGCAATGACCTTTTCGTTTTGTTATTCTTTTTCCGTACATGTGATAAACGTGCTGACGTGTTTCGTCTTCGTGCCTTGTCGTGTTTGTCACGAAACAGGTAGAAACTTGGGAATGATTGATTTGAAACTTCTATTTCTAATCGTCTTGTTGAAATCTACACGAAAATCAGGCCTCAGTCGTGTTTTTAGAAACGTAATTTAAGGCATTCTCTGATTAAAGTTCAACAGTTTAAAGTCGCAATCTAATTCTTGGTACACAATTAAAAACGTTTGCAAGTTTCTTTACTTTGATTGAACAGTGATATTAATTATTATGATTGCTTATTAATTGTATCATTTCTACACAATTTTTTTTTTCCATTACAGCACCTCCATGTTGGAAATTTTTTGATAGCGACACTTCCAAGAACGATACTTTCGCTAGCCCTAGATATCCAGAACCTTACCCTACCGACGTCCACTGTGTTTACCATTTCACCGGTAGAGGACGAGAAAGAGTCCAGATTCTTTTCACCGATTTTGATCTCAACGTTCCAAGCGAGGGCGTTAAAGAGTGAGTAAAAAGAGAGAGAGAGAGAGCCGGGTGTAGCCTAGTGGATAACGTGTCGGATTGTAAGTCCACGGTTCGTATTCGTCTACGAAAAACCGCATAGTGGGATTTGACTGTCACACTTATAATGCACGTTAAGCTCGTCAATACTTGGGCTACTCTAACGGAATAGTGGGATTTGACGGTCACACTTATAACGCACGTTAAGCTCGTCAATACTTGGGCTACTCTAATGGTATATGGGATTTGACGGTCACACTTATAATCCACTCACAGCCTCAAAGAGCGAGGCGCTATTTTGTGGTAACGTGACGCAATCGTGAGCTCTCAGATTTACCTCCCAACACACTAATCACTTTTATGGTCTTTTGTAGGGGCAACGATTTAAGATAGTGTTACTGAGATCATTTAATAAATGATTTTATTCTCTATATTTATATAATAATGAGATAGATTTCCTAATACTTTAAATCCAGTGTTCGAGTCTGGTTTCAGCGTACAATCAATAATCTTACAGATTGTCTCGTTACCCTAACCTTAAAACATAGTTTACTTCTTATCAGCTGTGTTTTGGACGTGTAGCATTTTCTGTCAAACGTCACATTTTCATTTCGGTTGATGTTAGAATGGTGTATTTTAATCAATAAGTCTCCTGGTGGGTCAGCGCTAAGTTTGACGGAGTTATAGCCCTAAAATCCGGGGTTCTATTCCCCGCGGTGGACATAGCAAATAGCCTAATGTGGCTTTGCTCTAAAATAAACAAATTAATAATTAGTTAAATTAAAAATAATAATTAAAGGGTAAGCGAACGCTGGGTACTGGCTAGTGGAATACGTTTTGGCTATACCAGAACCCTAGGGGGTCTCTGACCTGGCCATCAACAATACGTTGATAAGTCACCGAAACTTCCATCCAATCTTCAGGCGTGGGGTTTAATTTTATTTTCAGTATTTTTTAGAGATCCATGCGTACCTATAGGTTGGGAACCACTGGCCATAACTTATATATACGTTTTATGTACACTCATTTGCTGCGCCCGATCTGACGTCAACTTTACTTCTTTTTTATCTGAAACTGATTTGAAAGAATTTCTGTTTTTCTTTTTGTGTGTGTGTGTGTGTAATGAAGAGTTTTTCTAGCTTAAAAACGATTCGTTTTTGGCATTCTTCCTCTGAGAATATATCGCTCTTTTGTTTGTTGTTTTCTTCTTTCTATTTTGCCTTCTGCTTGTTCTAACACTGATACATTATTCTGCCTTCTGCTTGTTCTAACACTGATACATTATTCTGCCTTCTGCTTGTTCTAACACTGATACATTAACACACCAAGAAAATGACAAGTAGATTTGGTAGAAAAAACACGAACATTCTTTTCTCCTTCTTATCCGTTGTACTATTTCTTTCTGGATTTGTCAAGACTTGTTTTCTGCAACTGAATGACAATGTTAGTAATGGTAAAAGAAAACCGAAACTCATAACTCAGAGTTGGACTTTAACCGCAAGGGTGCGCTGTTATTCAACACACTGATAATTCTAATAAAAAAAAATATTTTTAGGCATATTTTGGAGCGAGAGAGAGAGAGATAAATTTATTTGATAAGTAATAATACATGAATTTACAACTTCGCGAGCATTGGCTTAAACAGCGTTGTCATGTAATCTTAGGGACCGGATAAAATTTACTGATGTTGTGGAAAACGTTTGATGGCTTAATTCTGATTTATCGGTATTAACAGTCAGAGTAATTCATAAGGAGTTAAAAATATCAATAATCTAAGTATAAAAGACGCTAAAGAGTTATAAGCCTTCAGTCTTACCGACGAACCACTAGGGGGCTTCGAAATTTGAGAAACTACAAGTATTTTCTTCTACTTGAAATTGTGTTTTATTGGTTCCCATTTCAAAATTAGAAATTACTAACTAACAGTCATGCCAGTATTAGCCGGTAGGGTTAAAATTTGACAATCATGATTGTTATTCACAATTCCAATACGAGCCGGTAGGGTTAAAGTGTGACAAAAATTCTGATTAACAATCATGCCAAAATATACCGGTAGGGTTAAAAAATTCGATGAGAATTCTTATAATTAAATCATTTCGTAATATAAGTTGCCTAGAAGCATTTAAAGAATGGGACTCGGGTAACAAGTTTACGTGGAATATTTAATAAATATACACTTTACTGCATCGCTGTAATATTATTTGTTGTTTAAGTAAAGTTTTGCTTCAGAATTTGGCAAAAATGATAAAATAACATCGCAATATATATATATATATGGATTTTAAAGTGTCATCCATCATTATTCAATGTTATACATTGAGGGTCATACTGAACCCCCTCCCCCCAATAGTCCAATGTCTCCGCCACCTGTTATTAACGTATGTCACAAATATTTGTAAATGATCGAATTAAATACAATAGAATTGTTGCCTTTATTGGAGATGGAGGGGTCACTATAATCCACCTTGCAGTGACGTCCCCCGGGTGGATCATCGGTGAGTTAACGGAGCGACAACGCTAAATGAACATCAGCAGTGGTGTGTTCTGAAAGAATCGAATCTGTAGTTGAAGAGTTGTTAGAACGACATTTTTTTGAATGCTCTACGTGTGCGTGTAAGGTGCCTTCTAATAAAATTTGAAACCTAAAAATATTTATATCAAACAAATTTCTCTTCTCTGGCCTGTTTGGTGAAGTGTAAAATGATAGGCTTCTAATGTAGAAACGATCGTAATCTACAACCTAAATGTATTGTTCTTATTTATTAGATGTCAAGGTCCTGTTGATATGATGATGGTCTTTATCACCATCAATGGTCAGAAAGAACGTCTCAACAACTTCTGCGGAAACAACCTCCCCCCTCAGCTGATGTCGAACGGACCTTCTATGACAGTCGAGTTCAAGAGCTACCAATCTCCATCGAGTGTCAAGGGTTTTCGGGCTATTTACCGTTTTGTCACTAGTACGGGCCGATTGGTTTGAATTTCTTTAAAAAAATAAATTGACATATATCGTTTTGTGTTCTTGTTTAAAATTTTATAGTGTGAAGTTATTCATCAAATTATTTAAATGTTGACAGATATTTTACATATATCACCTTGTTAGTTCCGTGTGTAGCCTAGTTCCAGGCTATGGATGGGAAGGTCAAAGACACGAACCGTGATACTTACTCCATAGTTTCAGTTATGTGTTTAATATAACAGTGAGAGTCAAGCTCTTCAGTTAAGAGTAGTCATGGGAGCGACAGTTCAGAAGTTTTAAATTAAGGTTGGCTATACCTGACCCCTGGGGTCTCTGACCTGGCCATTGTTGGCTATACCAGAACCCTAGGGGTCTCTGATCTGGCCATTGTTGGCTATACCAGAACCCTAGGGGTCTCTGATCTGGCCATTGTTGGCTATACCAGAACCCTAGGGTTCTCTCACCTGATCACTATTGGCTATACCAGAACCCTAGGGGTCTCTCACATGGTCACTGTTGGCAATACCAGAACCCTAGGGAGTCTCTGATCTGGCCATTATTGGCTATACCAGAACTCTAGGGGTCTCTGACCTGGCCAATGTTGGCTATACCAGAACCCTAGGGTTTTCTCACCTGGTCATTGTTAGCTATACCAGAACCCTAGGGGGTCTCTGATCTGGCCATTGTTGGCTATACCAGAACCCTAGGGATCTCTGACCTAGCCAATGTTGGCTATACTAGAACCCTAGGGGTCTCTGACCTAGCCAATGTTGGCTATACCAGAACCCTAGGGGTCTCTGACCTGGTCATTTAGCCCATGAGTTGTCGTTACAGTTGAAGATACTAAACACCATATTTTGATATTTCTAACTTTCAGTGTTCGTTCTATAACATTGTTAACAAACCACCGTTTCTAACAGTGTTAACAAACCACCGTTTCTAACATTGGGTAAACTCACAACTTTTCTGTGTAAAATACGCAGCGGCGAACATCGGCAGAAATTAATTAAAATATTGATGATATATATTTTTTTTGTTGACGTCTTACACGTGATGCATATTTTTATTTAAGATCCAATCACAGATCTACAACCTGTCTGATGCTTAAATCCTCCAAAAATAAATGTGTGTATTAAGCAGATGGAGTTTAGAATTATCCTTATCTGGAATTTCCAGAACCATGTTAACTTATAAGTTGTGTTAAAACTTCAATGATCAATACTATACTGTATATTAAGTCAATTTGGTGACTTTTCTAACACTTTAAACCACTTGTGAAACTTTAATTTGACATTCTAGCTATAGATGTCGCTAAAAAACCTTCTCTGTCTTTTTCATTTTCTTATGACTATTTTTTTTACATTTTCAACAGACTTTGGAATAACTGCAGGAGTACAGGACCCTCAACAAGGTAGTATTTGTTTTCTGTATTCGAAAACTATTATTATTATCAGTGTCATTGTTGTTATTATCTATATATATATATATAAGAAATAAGCAAGACGTTTTTTTCTTTGTGAGAATCGTAATATAGATTTTAAATTTTCATAAATTTCGTATAAAGCAGAGTACGTATTTGTCATAAAACATATGTTAGGCCTATTATATGAGGGACTAGGTTAAGAATATAGTGTTATAAAAATGATAGGCCTAACATAATTTATTGTTGCGAGTATCATTCATTGTAATCATTGTTCGCTAGCTAGGAAAAGGCGTTAACACCATAACAGGGTATGTAGTTCATTGAATCGCCGGTATGTCTGCGGATTTACAACGCTATAAACCTGGTTTCGTTACCTGTGGTGGGCAGAGCACAGCTAGCCCATTGTGTAGCTTTGAGCTTAATTACAAAAATTACAAAACAAAACACTGAACGAATTCAAACAATTGAACTTTATAAAGAAACCCTTGAAGATATAAAAGTCATTGTTTAATATTCACAACAATATCACACATTTGAAACAATGCAATATTTACTTAAATGAAAACAAGTACACTGGGTCTCCGTTATACGTTGCATCGCTCTGCGACGTTTCGTTATTAGAGCGTTCACCAATTACTACCTATGTATCAAACAACGTTGCCTTGTTTCGTTACTAGAGTGTTAAAACATTGTCGGACTACTTTTCCAGGTGTAATGTTTAACAATTACAACCAATATTTTTGAAACAATATTGCCTTGTTTCATTACTAGAGTGTTAAAACATTGTCGGACTACTTTTCCAGGTGTAATGTTTAACAATTACAACCAATATTTTTGAAACAATGTTGCCTTGTTTCGTTACTAGAGTGTTAAAACATTGTCGGACTACTTTTCCAGGCGTAGTGTTCACCAATTACTGTGCAAACAATACGTGTGTGAAGTAACCTTGCCGTGTTCCATTACTAGAGCGTGCCAGTGTAGACGGACTACTTTACTGGGCGGAGTGTGATACGGCAGAGGATCTAAACTCGTTGTGTTTGTCTGAGCACGTTGTTTTTTCTCCTGCAGAAAAGCCATGTTACAACCTTTAAAAAATTATTCAAGACTGGACCGAAATTTTTCAGGAACATGCCCCCCCCCCCATAATGTTGCTTAACGTCGTTTCTCGTGATGTACGTCCCACTTTTCAGGAACGCATCACGACGTAAAACGGGGACCCCCTGTACTTTCATATTATTACTATTGCAACAATGTTAATTCAGGAAATTAATTAATTACATGTAAATTTCAATATTACATTTGTAATTTTAAAAATGTAGGGGGCGTTGCAGTAACTTTTAGTTATTGGAAAAAAAATGAGTTTATTATTTCTGTTCGAGACAGAAATCGTCAAAGG